ATTTTGGTCAATGACATGAGACAAAGTATATGTGAACTGCTGTATGAAAAGTGAATTTACTCTGTAAATCTTCACCCAAATCCTAATAAAATAAATAAATAAATAAATAAATAAATAAATAAATAAATAAAATAAACTCTGACCTCTATACATTTGCCCATTCTAAATATTTCATATAAGTGGGCCTGATCCTCTTCATGGCTCTACCTTTTCCAGGCATGATGCCACACAGCCTCGAAGCAGGGCCACTAGCCAGCACTCAGTAGGTAATGCCCATTGCCCTCACACTCACAGGACATGCTGCATGGCTGAGGCAGTCTTGGTGACGTTCCCCACTTGAACGATCTTCTGGACTCTGGTGAGGGAGGCCATGACATCCTTGCTGTCTTGGAGATCAAACTCAGTCTGGATCACTCCTCCATATTGCACTAGGGCAAAGCTGCACTGGAGGGGAAGGGTTGAGGTAGGGAGGAGGTTGGCAGAGCTGCCATACTCAAGGCCACCCTTGCCCGTTGGATGCCTTTCCCTAGAAGCAGTGGAGGAACCCTCTAATTCCACTTTATCCATGGGCAGAAGGAGATGCTAAACCAGAGGAAAATCTGTAAGCAAGTTGGGGTGGAGGAGGGTGGCTCCCCAATGAATCACATGTTCCTGTATAGTCCACCTCCATATTGATTATGGAATTGACCATGTGACTTGCTTTGGCCAATTGGACATCAACAAATGTGACGGAATTAGAAAATTGAAAAGTGCTTGTGCATTGGAGCTTGCCCTTCTGGAATGTTACTGCCATGAAAATATTGGGCTGGCCAGAGCTCTGGTGGTTCAGTGCCTAAGGCATTTGACTGCTAACCAGAAGGTTGGTGGTTCAAACCCACCAGCCACTCCTCGGAAGGAAGATTGGGCAATCTACGTCCATAGTGATATTGCTTTGGAAATCCAAGGAGGGGTCGCTACGAGTCGGATCCAGCTCAACAGCTGTGAGTTTTTTTTGAGCTAGAGACACTTGCCCCAGCTAACAGCCAGCACCAACTGCCAACTGAGTGAGGCCATGTTAAATCATCAAGCCCATGTCAAGCAACCAGATGCCTCCAGCTACAGGAGTAACTCCAGGCAAGAACAGCAGAAGAACCACCCAACTGAGCCCAGTCCAAATAGCTAGCCCACAGAATTGTGAGCAAATAAAATGGTGGTTGTTTGCCAGTAGTTTGTTATACAGCAACAGATAACTGATAGAATATGTGAGACTAGCTCTCAGAGAAACCCACCTCAAAGCACTTCTCATAGATGTCCCTCATCATGTTGGAGATAAAGTCTTTGGCTTTCTGGAAGTCTGAAGGACTAATGCTTCCTGAGCCATCCAAGATGATAGCAATCTCGGTACCTGGGTCAAGACAGGTAATAGGTTGAGGTGGGCATGGATTTGAGGCAGGAGTGAGGGATTTTTAATCCCCTAGCCCTGGTGGTACAATAGTTAAGCATTCACCTGCTAATTGAAAGGTGGGCAGTTTGAACCTACCCAGTGGCTCCTTCTTGGAAGGAAAGTTGGGCAATCTACTTCCACAGTGATACTGCCTCGGAAACCCAAGGAGGGGTCACTATGAGTTGGATCCGACTCGACGGCAGTGAGTGAGTGGCTCCATGAGTAAAAGACCTAGTGATTTGCTTCCATAAAGATTACAGCCAAAAAACCCTATGGGGCAGTTCTACTTTGTCATATGGGGTTGCTATGAGTTGGAATTGACTCAGCAGCACTCAACAACAACAGGGCTTAGTTCAGGGAGGAAGTTAGAGAATCTTTTGTCTCAAAGGCAGAACTAGAGAGCCTAAACTGCTCCCTCACTCAACGTGCTCGAGCCTGCTGCTGTGTGTGAGTCACTCCTGGCACTCCAGCTCTCTGAGCTTCACTTTCCCCATTTGTAATATAGGGGGAGGGGACTGGGACTGGCCAGGCCTGTAGAGTCCAGCCACTGCTCCCTATCTCCAGACCAAGGCACACCTCACCCTGGAGGGTACCAGCTGGAGGTCAGCCCTGACGGCTTCTGGGATCACCCAGATCTGCCTTTCCTCACCGGCTTCCTCTTCCTCCTCTTTCTCTTCCACTGCCCGGCGCCACCTGGTTGAGTTCTTATTCCCCTCCATGCTGCTTTTCTTGTTCCTGTAGCAGTCTCCAGCATTCACATGTACATCTGGATGTAGGACATTTTCTTCAAAAAACACACATAGAAGAGATCAGAGCCAGAAAGCCTTTTGTTCACCTCCAGGCAAGCCCACACTTAGCTCTGCCCAATTCCTTTCATAGAGTTCCTAGAACCTGCCCTCCTCTTTCTGGGCTCTGTGTCTTCTCAGGACTTGCAGTGGGCTAGGGCCTTCCTTTGGGGACCTAAAGAAATCTCTTTAGAGCTGCCAAAGGCCAGTGAGTGTCTAATCCTCACCAAGGTTGGAAAAGTAGGCCTGGGCCTGGTGGGTGAGGTTTGGGGCCAGTAGGCTGCAGGTTCCTGTGAGTTCTGGATTGAGGCTGTGGCGCTTCCGTGTTGCCACTTGAAGGCAAATCTGGGGGAGGGAAGAGAAGAGGGAAAAGGCTAGGCCAACTCCATCCCAGATCCCCTAACTCAACCACACCATCAACCCATCCCAGTACTCAATACCAAGCAGGGACATAGGAACAGCGTGTTCACCCTTCACCAGGGCAGGGTCAGTGCTGAGGTGAAAGCTGAGGTCAGAACCTGAGTCAGTGCTGGGTCACAGAGAGCACAGGTCACCCTGGGATCGGCACCAGAGAGACAGCTGGGCTCAGCCCTGAGAGTAACATGCCAGTCAGGACTGGTATCAACATCAGAGTCAACCACAAGGGTTAGCACAGGGGTCAGCTCTGGGGTCAGGACCAGCCTCCCTGAGGCCCTCCACACTCCCACTCCACGCACACTTACCAAAACACCGTGGTGGTTCTGGACGATCGTCACCCCCTGATGCTTTCCCTTTGGGATGAGGACGTGCTCTGAAATAGTTAAATCCAGATAAGGAAGGAGGGATATTGGAAGGCAACACTGAATTGAAGAGGCCATGGGGTCATCTTGGTCAGAATCCCATGAGGAACTGTCAGGACACTGTCTTAATTTACAGTCACAGTATCATCCAGTCACTCTGCTAACTATATACAGAGATTGAGTTCTTTTTCACTCAATGCCTTTCACAGAGATAGGATTCTACTTTCCACAACCAAGTAGTTGTCAGTAATATGTGACTTGAGTTGGATTAGGTAAGATGAATAGAGTTTGGTTAGTAAATGAAGTTCATCTGTTCATTCATTCATTCAAACAGTATTTATTAGTGCCTAATATATGCCAGAGGAGCTCTGGTGGTGTAGTCCCTAAGGCACTTGACTGCTAACCAGAAGGTTGGTGGTTCAAACCCACCAGCCACTCCTCAAAAGGAAGACTGGGCAATCTACTTCCATAGAGATACCGCCTCAGAAACCCAAGAAAGGGTCACTATGAGTCAGAATCAACTTGACATCAGTGAGGGTTTTTTTTTTTTTTTTTTCCAGATATATGTCAGGCCTCTTGCTAGACATTAGGATGGCCATAGTTAGACCAGATTGCATAATGTTGGATTCCACGGAGGTGTGAGAAGCTGTATTGAGATGGCTGGGTTATGCAGTCAGGCATATCTGGATTTGTACTGATAAGGAGTATTAAAAATTTAAGGCATTTGACAGAACTAAAGCCTCTAACTAAACTGCGAACCAAATACACTCCATTTTATTTTAAGAGACCCCATGTAGATCTGCCACTTTTGTAAAAGAAAATTTCCACTACATCTTTGACCTAGATATAAGTAGTTCTACAGAAAAAAAAAAAAAAAAAAATGTGATTTTGTCCACTCTACTCTACTTACAGATGAGCTTGTGGTTGGACATGGCCAATGTTAAGATTATTTGACTTACACAGGTGTTAGACATAATGTTAAATATGTAACTTTAGTGGCTAAGCCAATTCTCAGGAATATACTCCTAAGCACCCTAGAAAAATGATTTTCTGACCCCTTTTACAGATACCCTGTGTCTGTATTTTAACAACTGTTCCAGGAAACTCACAGTCAGCCAAATCATGTCACCTGAAGTCATCCTTGCAAATAAGGCTAACCTCTACAAAGGTGATCAACCAAGTCTCTGCAACTTTGTAGATGTTAATCAACCAAAAATACTCTAGCCATATCCCCCCTTATTTGCATTTTTTGCCTTTATTAACCTCTGTAACTCTGTAGCTTTTCAGAGTAACTTGTTGAGATTCTCTTGACTCTGTGTTTCCCTGTTTCATGAAACACTTTTCTTTTTGCCATAATAAAAAACTCTTTGTTTGTTTTAATTTAAATAGACTTGTGGTTTTTCCCACTAAAACATGTCTTGGTGTCAGAAGTGGGATCTGAAGGACAGTTCCTTCTGGTGACACCTAGAGAGCTAGGAAATTGGGCTCTATATCTACCTGAGTCACTTGGACTCTCCATGATCCACAGACTTTTGGGAGCCTCCGGTAAGTACTTTTCAGATCTTCAGCCTCTGCTTATTGCATTTGAGACTCTGAGTTCTCTACTGGCTTATTTTTATTATTATTGGTTTGCTTTCATTGTGAAATTTGGTCTAGACTTATTTTCCCCTTTCTCCATTTTGGTCATTTATATGTGAGCTTTGAGCTCCCTCTACAAGAATGCCATTAAATGAAATTGTTTGCCTGCCTGCAAGTTCAGGTTAAAGTTTCCAACTTGCAAGTTCAGGTATGTTAATTAAAAATGCTTGTCTGCTTGCAGGTTAAGGTTAAGATTTTCCACTTGCAAGCTTGGTATCTTGATTTTGATTTGGGTGCACACTATTGGCTAACAGGAGAAATGACTGACAACAAATACAAAAATGGAGAATACCCCTCAAGGACTCCCACACAGTTTATGAGCAAATATTAAGGCCCTGCTACTTGCACATTTGTGAATCAATGGCATAATCTAACTAAAGACAGCTTGGAAAATATGTGGCCTCTTTGGGCGACTTTTGAGGTCTCAAAATGAACTTTTCTGTAGAGTAAATTAGGGAAAAAAAGGTTCCAGGATTAAACAGACCCAATGAAATCAATATTTTAATTGTTATTTTGAAGCTTCTAAAAGAAATGAGGAAAGTAAAGTTACTACCTTAAAAAATACTGTTTCTAAGTTAACAAAACAATAAAGAACTTCAGAGCTCTATTTCCATTTCTAACACTTTGGTGCCATCTACTGTTCCCTCCAGTCTCCTTATTACACCCTAAAGTTCCCATTTCTCTTGTGGTAATTAAGTTTGTGTGTCAATTTGGCTAGGCCTGGTTGAGTGGCTGGGCAGCTGGATGTAGTTATTCCCCATGGTAAGACTGGTAATTATCTCCATGGTGGAATGTATCGGAGCGGCTGAGTAGCTGCTTTAGGGATGTGGTCTGCTTCCCATATATAAGAAACAGCTTTGGCAATGGTCTCTAATTTATGGCACATTTGAACCCTGCATGTAGCTGGGTCGTTGTTCAGCAACCTGCCATGCTCTGCTGACCTTGGGACTTTCGATGGACTTGAATTAATGGCCTGCCATGTGGTTTGCTAACATCAGGACTGTGCCATTTTAGTTGTTGACCTTGGGCTTGTTAGCCTCACCAGCCAGTAGCTGCCTGAGTTAAGAGATGCCTCTAGCTTCAGTGGGCCAGGAGCAAGAGGCAGAGCTGAAGCCCAAGGTTGAGGAGCTTTCACAAAGCCCCTAGAGCCTGGCACTTTGAACTCAGACTTCAAACTGTAAGAGAATAAACTCCTCTTTGTTCAAGCCATCCCATTTGTGGTATATATTCTCACCAGAGAGGCACTAGGTAACCAGAACACCTCTCTACCACCCACTTCCCTTCATATGGCACATCTTTATCTGAATTCCCTTCCTTCCCAAGTGAAGAAGACAACTGCCTATAAACCTGTACCTGAGATGCCTTTTAAGATAAAACCACCTGAGCACTCAGGGGATTGTCTGGGAATTAGTTTCACCCCTTGGACAAAGGCAGAATTAAAAGCCATAGTAAGATATTTCCCAAACTCTCAAGATCCACATAAATTCAGGGAAGAATTTAAAGTTCTTGTTTATACTTACCAACCTGGTTTTCCAGACCTTTTTCAGTTCATTCACATGTTAATGGGCCCTAAAACCAAACCCACTGCCATCCAGTCAATTCTGACTCATAGCAATTCCCATAGGGTTTCCAACCCTCCTTTCTGAATCATTTCTCCCCCATTAACATAAACTCACTGCCCCCTTTACAGAAGTAGATTGCCCTATCTTCCTCCCACTGAGCGGCTGGTGGGTTTGAACTGCTGACCTTCTGGTTAGCAGCCAAGTGCCTTACCCATTGTGCCACCAGAGCTCCTTTAGGAAACTAGGTGGCATTATCCTGAAGCATCTTTATTTCTCAGGTCCTGTCAGACTGCCAAAGACCTTTTAAGAGATGCTAGGGACGTATACAGGAGCCCTGGTGGTTCAAACCCAACAGCCACTCCTCAGAAGGAAGATTGGGCAATCTACTTCTGTAGTGATAGCACCTCAGAAACCCAAGGAGGGGTCACTATGAGTCAGATCCAGCTCGACAGCAGTGAGTTTGTTTTCTTGGAGGGACATGTACAATCATTTGTTAAAAGCCATCCCTAAAGCTTTTCCCCGAAAAATAGATCGGGCAAAGGTCCAAACTTGTAGAAGAAAGCATTTATAGTTACTGGGACAGGTTAACTAAGCTCTTTACTGAATACTCTGGAATGGCTGAAATGCTAACATGGCTTTCAACTCATAGGTTCTTAATGGATTATACCTAACATATCCAATCTAGTGAAAAGGTATAACCTGAATTGGGAAATGGCTCCTACTGGAAGTGTCACACAATGTCACCAACACAAGATTTGTGACCTTCACAGCCAGCTACCCAGAGCGACTGAGTAGTTGATCCTGCGGGCTTGGGACCATAGTCGCAGGGGACATCAAGCTCAATTGGCATAACATACTGTACAAAACATTGTTCCACCGCCTACTTTGGTGAGTAGCGACTGGGACCTTAAAAGCTAGCAAGCTGCCATCTAGATGCAACAATGGGTCTCTCCTCGTCAAGAAGAAGAAAATCAAAATTAATGGAAACAATCAGTCCTAGCGACTGCTACACCATCCGATCTGCAACCTATACAACTATGAGACCAGAAGAACTAGATGGTGCCTGGCTACCACTGTCATCCACTTGGAAGGGATGTAGGAGATCCTGCATAGAGAGGGAGAACAATGTGGAACAAAACTCAAAATCATTTGGAGGCAAAAAAAAAAAAGAAGGTGGGGACCAGGTTTGCTGGTCCAATAGAGCCTGGTGGAACCACTGAGACTATGGTGCCTAGCTGTCCTTTAGGTCTGGAATTGAACCCACACCTGTGGTTTCCAGCCAAACAAAGTATAGGCATGTGAATTAAACATTTACCTCAAGTAGACACACGCCCTGGAGAGAAAAATCATGGGAGAAGGAAGGGCTGCTTACGCACAGGGAGACAGCTCAGGGCGCAGAAGAGTATGGAGGGATGGACACTGGGAGGAGGTAACTATGGGGAGGAAGTGGGAGGGGAGCTGTTGCATTGTAAATTTTGGTCAATGACATGAGACAAAGTATATTATGTGAACTGCTGTATGAAAAGTGAATTTACTCTGTAAATCTTCACCCAAATCAAAATAAAATTAAAAAAAAAAAAAAAAAAAGTTGTGTGACCTTAATTATACCACAACCAAAGTATTTAACCAACTGCCATCAAGTTGATTAAGACTGATGGCAACCTGATGTGTGTCTCAATAGAACTGTGCTCCATTGCATTTTCTTTTTTTTCTTAGAATGTTTTGTTCTATTTTATTTTGTTGCTGTTGAGAACATACACAGCAAAATATACACCAATTCAACAGTTTCCACATGTACGACTCAGTGACACTGATTATATTCTTCAAGTTACCCAACCATCTCACCCTCCTTTCCTGAATCATTCCTCCCCCATTAACATAAACTCCCTGCCCACAACATCCCTATCTAATCTTCTGAGTTACTATTATCGATTTGCTCCCATGCAGATAGATCTTAAAAGAGCACAGTGCACAAGGCAGACATCTTTACTAGTTAAGCTAAACTAATATTTGGTGTTAAGAAGAATTCAGGGGATATTTTTGGTTTAAGGTTTAAAGATTATCTCAAGGCAACATTTTGTGGGGTTCACCTCACCTCTGTGGCTCCACAAAGTCTGGATTCCATGAAAATCTGAAATTCTGTTCTGTATTTTTCCTCTTTTGAAAATCAAGATTTATCTACAGATCTTTGTTCAAAATCCACAGGATTTCCAATGGTTGATTTTTCAGAAGTATATTGCCAAGTCTTTCTTCCAAGCACCTCTGAATGGACTTGAACCACCAACCTTTTGATTGGCAGTGGAGGGATTTTAACTGTTTATACCACCCAGGTACTCCCACCAAAGTACTTAGTGTCTCAGAATTCTAGTTTCCTAGGAGGGGTCGCTATGAGTTGGGGCCGACTCGACGGCAAATAACAACAACAACAACATTCTGTAAAATAGGAGCTCTGGTGGCATAGTGCCTAAGGCACTTGACTGCTAACCAGAAGACTGGTGGTTCAAACCCACCAGCCACTCCTCAGAAAGAAGGTTGAGCAATCTACTTCTGTAGTGATACCTCCTCGGAAACCCAAGGAGGGGTTGCTATGAGTCAGGTCCGGCTCAACGGCACTAACAACAACAACATTCTGTAAAATAGCATGGTGAAGATTAAACGTGAATGACGCACTCAGCAGAGTGCCAGGCACGTGGTAAGCACTCAGTAAATGTTAGGTATCATTTTATTGTTAGGATTGGGTCAGGAGAGGTGGTTGGGATTAGGATTGGGTTGGAATGGGATTGGGCACTCAGATGGGATGGATTATCATGAGTGGTCTTGGAGTTTAGGGTGAGGTAGACTGGAGTAGGTAGAGGTAGGACTGGAATAGTTTGGGTTGGGATGAGTGGGATTCCTGGAGAGGAGGATCTGAGGCACGTAGGCTGGAGCTGAGCTAACTTACCTACTGGTTGACAAAGGATCTCACCCAGGTTGAGGGAACATCGATGGAGAGCATCTGCTGACCCATTGCTTCCAAGGCTGGTGACAAGGAGCCTAAGTGGGAAAGTGGACACAAGAGCTGAACTGGCTGTTAAGTCCCTTCCCATTCTTACCTGCCCAGGCAAATCTTCCCATCCCAGGCCCACAGTCTCCCTTGTCTGGCAGAGAGGAGGCCCAGATCCGGCAAAAGTAGGCAAATCCCCAGCCCAGATTATACATTATGGGGGAGACATTTGCTCAACCTCTCCCTCTGCACAGCTCCAGGCAGGAAATGGTTAAATACAACCCCTCTCTGCCTGCTCACCCACCTTGACAGAGATGGGGGTGGTACTGGCAGTAAAGAAAGACTCCACTCTCTTGCTAGGAAACTAGGAAGTCACCCTGCCTACTCAACCTGGCCTCAGTGATGTTATTTCCTGAGGAGTGTACACTGGTGCCTCTATTCTCTGGGTCACTCAGAACCAGAGGTCTGGGAGTGGGCACCTTGGCCTGATCAAGGCAGCCTCAGGAAATATGGTTCCCAAGTGCAAACTTTGTGCCTACCACCCTGACCCCAGGCAGGAAAACAGGAAAGAGTCCCGTATCAGCCTAAATATTCCCACAATTCACGCTGCCCAGAGAAGATCGGGCTGTCTTGAGTTAGGTAGTGAGTTCCCCAACCTAAGGGTGTAAGTAGGAGTTAGAAGGGTTATGGAGTAAAGTGCACCCCCCCAAAAAAAAAAAAATGCGTTGCATTCCTGGCCTTTGTACCTAAGGATGTGATCCTGCTTGGAAAGAGAGCTTTTCTTTTGTTACATGAATGAGACTACACTGGTACAGGATGGATCCTAATCACTTCTGAATGACCAGAAGGCCAGAATAGACACAGACATACACAAAGAGGGGGACAGATGCCATATGAAGATGGCTTACAAACCAAGGAACAAAGGATGACTCAGGAATACCAACAAGGAAGGAATCAACACAGCTAAGATCCTGATTTGGACTTTTATCCTCCAGAACTGTGAGAAAATTAGTTTCTGTTTTTAAAGCCACCCACTTGTATTTCTGTTACAGCAGCACATGACACTAAGACAGTGGGGAAGGAGACCTGACCTGAGGCTTGGTGTGGTAACAATAAACCCAGTCAAAGACTTTATGCAGAGGACAGTGGGAGGACCGATTTTTGAAAGCTCGTGTTGTGGTTATCATGGCCTGGGCAGACTAGGGAGCAGAGTAGGCACAGAAATAAGGTTCCATTTCCACTTCCTCACCTCCCATCACTCTAAAAATTTTTTCAGTTGTGAAATAGATCATTCATATATCTCCACTGTTTATAGGGTAATAATAGGGTCTACTGCTGTGTGTGTACACCCCACTCAGCTTAACCCACCCCAAGTCAACTTGCACCCTTGGAAGCTCCTGTCTAGGTCACCAGTGATCCCCATGTTGCCAAATTTAACATCCTCATCTTTCACTACCTCTCAGCAGCCCTGGATACAGATGAACATCTTGAAATGCTTTGTTCATCTTAATTTCCCCTCTCTTACTATTCCTTCTCAGACTGCTTTGCTGGCCCCTTCATTGTTTGTCTGACCTCTAAATGCCACTGAATCCTAAGGCTTGGTCCTTTGCTTTCTCGTCAGCACAATCTCCCTAGTGATCTTAAACTCATGACTTCGATATATCTGTAACTGCTGAAATGTCCACCTTTTCATCTATGCCCCTATCATCTCTCTACCAGATGTTAGACTCACATAGCTGCTGTAAACAGAACAGTGACCTCCCATAGGGGTCCACAACCTAATCTTCAGAACCTGTGAATATGTTACCTTACATGCAGAAAAGACTTCACAGATTGTACAAAAAGCATGAGGGTGGCATCATCTGACCTCCACTAACTTCACAAGGGAGAAGAAGGATCAAGGTCAACAGCCCAAGTCTGATACCTATGGAGGTCAGACATTCCGCCACCCTCCAACCTTCTTGCCAATTCTGACATGCCTCATCCTACCCATGACACTCTACTTCTCTGCAGGGTTTGGTAATTCTTTGCAATGGTCACACAGAAATCACAGACAATACCCGTGATTATGGAAAGTAACAGGTTACAATTCAGGTTCAGAAATGCTCAAGATATCATTCTTCCATCAGGATAGCCTCCCCTTAGCCATGCCCACAGACACGACTCTCTCTGGCCCTCAGCCTCTCGGCCTGGCCCCTGCCCTGCTTGGGAAAGTATTACAAAGCTCTTTTAGCACTGCTGCTAGGTGCCCAGAGAGGTAGCCCGCTCCACCAGCAAGCCTCCTGCCTAAAGGCACTCAGCTTTCTCACTCCGCGAGCCGGGAAGCCCGCCACTCTGCCTCATACGGGTCTCTTGGTTCTGCTGCCACTGCTGCTGCTGTTCTGGTGCTGCTGCTTCTCGCCATCTCTGGGCTCACAGTTCTGTCTCCTGGATCAAGGAAGTTCAGTGCGGGGATCTTGGGTCCAAAGGATGTGCTCCACTTCTAGCTCTTCTTTCTTAATGGTAGTGAGATTCCCCACTCTCTGTCTCTGGGATGGCTCACTGTAAGCCCAGAGACGGCAAAACTGACCAATCCCCATGCTGGCGTTCCATACACCTTATCTGCAGTCTGTCCCCTACAAGGGTACCATGTACCTTATTTATGTTATTAACAAGCTATCCAATCCCTTTGGTGGACCACCAGCACCTCACATTTGCAGAGTCCCAGTCATCTGGTGGGAGTCACAAAGACCATGGCCAAGAGAGCCATATTAAGTAATTCACTGTACCACACAGATACAGTTCAGGATCTTGAGAAAGAGAGATTTTCCTGGATTGTCTGGGTGAGCCCCATGTAATCACAATGATCCTTATAAGAGGGAAGTGGGAGGGTCAGAGTCAGAGAAAGATTTGAAGATGTTACACTGCTGGCTTTAGACATGGAGGAAGGGGCCATGAGCCACGGAATGTAGGTGGCCACTACAAGCTGGAAAAGGCAAGGAAACAGATCCTGCCCTAGAGCCTCCAGAAGGAACACAGCTCTGTTGATACTTTGATTTCAGCCCAGGAAGAACCACTTTGACCTTCTGACTACCAGAACTGTATAATACATTTGTATTGTTATAAGCCACTATGTTTGTGGTAGTTTGTAAGAGCAGCAATAGGAAATTAATACCATAACCAACTGTTCATTGTCTAACAGACATCTCAAACTTAGAACGTCCAAAACAGAATCCGAAGTTTCATCCTCTCAAGCTTACTCCTTCCTGTCATCCCCGGTGCAGTAACTGGCACCACTAACCATTCCATTTTGCAGCCAGAAGCCTGGGGAGCATCCTTGCTTTGTCTTTTCTCTCATCTCTCACAGCCAATTCACCAGTAAACCTTGTTGGGTCTTCCTCCAAACTATTATCTAGAGAATGTCTTTTCTCCATTTTCCTGCCACTATCCTGGCCACCACCAATTTGCCTTGGTTTGATGGTAATAGCTGCTTGTTTTATTCCTTTTGTTTTTTAAATTTACCCTTGTAATTTACACCATGTCTCCTGCTTCAGTAGCCTTCCGTGCACGTAGACAAAACACCCGAACTCTACTGCGGCTTATGGAGCCTTGTGCCACCCAGCCCTCCTCACCTTCTCCTTCCTCTGCTCTCCAAGCTGGAGACTGCCCCCAGCTCTTTCCTGACTTGGGCCCTCCACCCTGCTGCTCCCTCACTCTCTCCAAGGCTAGTTCAGTCTCATTCCTTGGGCCTCCCTGAACTGTCACCTCCTCATACTTGCTTTCTCCAGCCCTACAATCTGACCCACAATGCAATTCTTTGGCTTCAATCTGATGGTATCTTGTTTACTTGTTTACCTGCTTACTCTCTGTCTCCCCCATTAGACTGTAAGTACTCCAGGAACCTTGTCTCTCTTGTGCCCCATTTTATTCCCAGGGCCTGCAACAGTGCCCGACACAGAGCAGGGACTCAGTAAATATTTGTTGCATGACTTGAAGGACAACCCACACTCAGCTAAGAGGGCCAATCTGGGACAGAGCTGAGGGTGGGGGGCCTACTGCAGATGGGCTCTGGTCCTCTGTGCAGCCTCGGCAGCTGAGCCCCCAAATTAGGTCGCCTCCTTAGCAACCTTGCCTTTCTCCCCTCACCCTTCCCCAGCCTGTGCCTCAGCTCTGGGCCCAGCACCCCACTTCCCCAGGAAGGGTAGCTCAGAATTGGGCTCTAGCCCAGATCACATTTTGCTAGGTCTCTGCACTCTCTCTCCTTCAGGCCCTCTGTTCCTTCTGCCTTTGATGCCTATCACCTCTTCACACAGAACAATCAGCTGAAATACCAGCTCCTCAGGAAGTCTGCCCAAAGGAAGGGGCAACTGGGCTTCCAGTCCCAGCCCTGGCCTTTCCCATCTGACTGTGAATTCCCAAGAGATCACCGGGCACAGTTGTACAAGCTGAGCACTGGTAGAACCGTAAGGTGGCCACTCATATCACAGCTGGGAATGCTGTGGTTTGGGGTCTGAGCTGCCTCTGCTCCCTGCCTCATTTACACCCCTCGCCCACCGTAGCGAGTGGTCTCTTGACCTCCTGTTAACATACTGACAGATCATCTGAACAAAAGACTGCTCTGCTGTGGCAGAGGACTACCATCAGCTGATAGCTCAGAGACCCTGCATTATACTCTGGGCTGAGTGTGGCCCTCACCCATCTCCTGCCTTCACCCAGCTCTACCCTGTCCCTGTTCTTGAATCCATTCCCTATCTCCCAGGGCAAGACTTCATTCTCCTACAGCAGCCAAAGCCCTTGACGTGGTCGGCTGTGGTCTGTGATATGTTAGGGAGAGAGAGCGTAAAGGAGCAAGAATGACGCATGATCCTAGCACAGGGAGCGCAGTCTTTGTTCCTCTCTGTGGCCTGGGGGACCAGCCAGCGCATTTCCTGCCCTGTGCAGCAGGCCCGAGGTTTTGAGAGCCATCTTCTGTGGTGGGAACCTAGCAGTGCCTCCCACCACATCCTCCTCTCTGGCATGTTCAAACCCAAGACCCCCTCTCTGCATCAGCAGGTGCTCAGGGAGGTTTGCCTGAGCCCAGCTGGGCTCTCCCCAGCCCCTTCCCCTTGGTGGGGGAACCAGAGGTTTCAAACTCCTCTCATCCACCCTGGCCTTTAGTCCTTGCTTTCTAAGGGAGAGAGTGTAAAAACCTGTTAGGCCTGGAGCTGAGAAGGGCCCTACTGGGATAGCCAAGAAAACCTCCTGGAGCAGTTGTACCTTTAACACATGGGCCTCATGAGTGGGAACAGACTCAACAGCAACTAACAACAAAGAAACATAGGAATCTCTGGGTGTGTAAACAGTTCTCAACTGATAACTGAAAGGCTGGAGATCTGAGTCCACCCAGAGGCACGTCAGAAGAAAGTCCTGGAAATCTACTTCCAAAAAACCAGCCATTGAAAACCCTGTGGAACACAGTTCTACTCTGACACACACATGGGGTCGCCATGACACACACAGGGTTGCCATGACATACATGAAGTTGCCAGAATCAACAGCAAGTTGTAAAGAAACAGAACGATAATATGCAATCCATAAACCTTGACTTTATTCTACCTTTAAAACAAAACAGCTCAAAAAGTCATTTTGAGGGTAACAGAGGAACCTGGAATGCACTTTGAATATCATGACCCTTCACTCCAGAGCTTCTCTTAATACTAAAGACATGATCCTACATAAATACATCACCATTATCACCACCTGATAATATACATCTTACTTATTATCTGTCTCCCTCTGGCCAACCACAGAAGCTTCCAGAGCACAAGGATTTTTGTCTTTGCCCCTGTTGTATCCCAAATGCTACAACAGGGCCTCCCAGGTGCTCCATAAACATTTGTTGAGTGAATGACCACCGTATAATTCTGCAATTTGCCTTTTTCATTTTACATTATGTTCTGAGAGTGATGCTGCCTGATATCCATTGAATTAGTTTCATTCATTTTGCTTGCTTGTAGTGTTGCAATATATGATTCACACTTTATTTTTCCATTTTCCTAATGACAAACAGTTCCAATCTTTTCACTACTCCAAGCAACGCTACAATGCACATCTTTACATGTGTCTGAGAATTTCTCTAGGGTAGGTCTCTGGGAGTGGAATTGCTGACATAAAGGGTAAGTGCATCCTCAACCTTCCCAGCCATGGCAAAACTGCTCTACGAAGTGGTTACACCAATTTACTTGCCCATGAGTTCCTGTTTCACCACATCCTGGTCAGCACAGTGTGGTCAGATTCTCAATTTCTTTCCTATCTTAACAGGTGGGGATGGTATATTTTCAAAATATAAGCTAATGTTTATTTAGCCCTAATTTGGCCAGAAACTATGCTAAACCTTTGTGTCCATTAACTTAGTGTTTGCAGCAACCTGTGGGGTGGGTCAATAATCAAGATCCCCATTTCAGAGACGAGAAGCCAAGGTTCAGGGGCTCAGCACCTTGCCAAGGTTGCACAGCACCTAGCCAAGGTTGCACAGCACCTACAGAGTGAAGCCAACACTGAACCACAACTACCAAACCCAGAGTCTGCTTCTTAACCACTACTCTCGAGCACCTCGTATTTTTATCTTGTCCTTTGATATTTTTTGTCACTTTCCAAATGTTCTATATAGAGCATGTGTCCCTTTTGTAAGAGGAAAAGAGTCTTACATAAATTTTGTTATGAATTGTATTATATCCCTTCAAAATATGGTTGGCATCCTAACCCCCATACCTGCAGATGCAATCCTGTTTGGAAATAGGATTTTTTTTGTTATGTTAATGAGGTCCTATCAGTGAGTTTCAAACCTAATCACTCCTGAGATATGAAAAAGGCAGATGAGAGTCAGAGACATGCACACATAGGGGAAGTCAGACGCCAAGTGAGGATTATCTACAAGACAAGGAGCCAAGGATCACCTGGGACTGCCCATAAGGAAAGAAGTAATTTGGCTTATACCCTGATTTGGGAGCTCTGGTAGCATAGTGGCTAAAGCACTTGCCTGCTAACCAAACGGCTGGCGGTTCAAACCCACCAGCCACTCCTTGGAAGGCAGGTTGGGCAATCCTACTTCCGTAGTGATACTGCCTCAGAAACCCAAGGAGGGGTCGCTATGAGTCGGGTTTGACTCGACAGCACATAACAACAACAACAACATACCCTGATTTGGACTTCTGGCTTCCAAACTGTGAGAAAATAAATTTCTGTTCTTTTAAGCCACCCACCTGTGGTATTTCTGTTACAGCAGACTAGGTAAATAAGACAAACTATATTTTAAAATCGTTTTTAAGCTATGCTTCCCATCCCTCTCTCCCCCATCCTATTCTCACCAGCAGCTCTTCCATAAGATTTCCCCCCCTCTGCCCTGAAACCCAGAGACCCTCCCAGGCAGTGGGGCCGGAAGAGACCCAGGTAAGCAGAGGAGCCGGGACTCCATGCCTTCTCCCTGTGTCCTGCACTTGTTTTTGAAAGTGAGAGGGAGGTGCTCTCTAGACTAGGGGTGGGGTGCCAAGGCTTTCTCTGGGGCTCTTCCCAGGTTCCCCAAAAGCCCCTCAGTCCTCACCCTTTCTGCCTGCTTGGCCCTACTCACCAGGTCTGGTTGGTGCTGGGGTCTTGGTGCAGAAGGGAGCTGACCACAGAAGGCCCACCCTTGGGTGTGACCCAGCTCCAGGTCACGTCCACGTTAAAGCCGGTCAAGGGAGCCAGGCCTGTGGGGAAAGTAGTAACATTTAACCAAAGAGGCATATTGTTGAGACCTTGACTGCACCTACTCCCATTGTGGTGTCAAAACCTCGCCCTATCCCTGTGGTGTCAATTATCCTCATTTTACAGATGAGAAAAGGATCTGCAAGGTTGAGTGATTTCCCCAAGGGATTAGGATTTGAAGGCAGGTCTGTCTGATTCAGAACCCATCTCCAAGCTGTGTCAGCACCAGGGCCCCTCCTCCAGAAAGTCTCCTCTGGTTCTCCCCCCAGAAGCACTTCCTGCCTTCTCATACCCCTGCACTTTCTGGACCTACTTGCGTAGCACGTGCTCATCACTGTGTCTTCTACCAAAGTTAAAGTACTTTAGGTGCCCCAGGAAGAGAGCCTGCATCCATTCTGTCCATGTATCTCCATCAAGTGACCTCAGAGAAAACGTATGTCCTCAGAAAAACCTATGGAAGAGCGTTTTATAGCACAATGTGGAACAAAACTCAAAATCATTAAAAAAGAAAAAAAAGGGACCAGGTTTGCTGGTCTGATAGAGCCTGGTGGAACCACTGAGACTATGGCCCCTAGCTGCCCTTCAGGTCTGGAATTGAACCCACTCCTATGGCTTCCATGCAAACAAAAGACAGGCATATGAGCTGAACATTTACCTGAGGTAGATACACTCCTTGGAGAGATCAATCATGGAAGAATAGAAGGGTTGTGTATGCACAGGGAGACAGCTCAGGGGGCAGGAGTGCATGGAGGGAAGGACATAGGGAAGAGGTAACTATGGGGAGGAAGTGGGAGGGGAGCTGCTGCACTGTGGGAAATTGCAGTCAATGTCATGAGACAGTGTATGTGAGCTGCTGTATGGAAAGTGAATTTCTTCTGTACACTTTTACCCAAATCACAATTAAAAAAGAAGAAGAAGAAGATTTTATAGCAGCTTTATTCGTTATAACCACAAAGTGGAACTATCCAAATGACCACCAACAGGAAGTGGCTAAACTGTTGTTGTTTGGGGCCGACAGGTTGATCCCAACCATGGCGGCCCATGGACCGAGGAGAACCACTCCATAGTGTTTTCTTGGCTGTAATCTTCACAGAAGCAGATCATCAGGTCTTTCTCCAGTGAAGCCGTTGAGTGGGTTCAAATCTACAACCTTTTGGTTAACAGCCAAGTACATCACTAGGGCTTCTTAAATTAACTGTAGTAAACTAACTCATAAAATGGGATATAACCCAGTAACAAAAAGGACTGATACATACAACATGAGTCAATCTCAAAAATCACGCAGTGTGAAAGAAGTCTTACATGTAAGAATACCTACTGCGTAATTCCATTTATATGATGTTCTAGAATGAGTTAAACTAACCTATGATGGAAAAAATTATCTCAGGATTGGGAGCCATGTAGGGGATAGGAATTAACTGGGAAGGAACATCTTTCTGGAGGGACACAGGCTTGGATTACAAAAGTGTGTGCATTGGTCAAAAACACATAGAATAGTCTACTTGAAATTTGTGCATTTCAGTGAATGTAATTTTTAAAAATAACTATAAACAAGTATTGAACTCTAGTTGGTATGCATGTTGAAATGTTTAAAGAAGTATAGTGATGTCTGCAATGTACATTGAAATATAAGTATGCCAAATAAATTGGCAATATGTTACAGATATTGTTTCTCACTTAGTTTTATATTATTTGACTATATGGGAGCTCTGGTAGCATAGTGGCTAAGGCACTTGACTGCTAACTGGAAGACAGGTGGTTCAAACCTCAGAAGGAAGATGGGGCAATCTACTTCCGTAGTGATACTGCCTAGCAAACCCAAGGAGGGGTCACTATGAGTCGGGTGCGACTCAATGGTACATAACAACACATATGATAGTTCCCCACATCTACATTTTTTATGCAATCAAATATAATCACTTTTTTCCTTTATGACTTTTGAGTTTTACTTGTGCCTCCCTACTCAGAAATTTTAAAAAATTCACTCATCTTTTCTTTGATTGTTTTTGTTTGTTACATTTCTCATACTTGAATCTTTGATCCAGCTAGAATTTCTTTTTCTGTATGGAGTGAAACAGTATCCAGTACTACTTTTTTTTCCCAAAAAATAAAATTAATTTAGCATTATTTATTAAATATTACATATATGTGTACAGATACTTGTTTACATTTATAAAAAGAAGCTCTCAAAGGATAGCTAAAAATTAATAAGTTGGGTCACAGTGGAAAAGACAGAGATGGAAGCAAAGACATCTCAGAATATATCATGTTGTATGTTTTTTCACCTTGGAATCGTGTAGATGTTTTACACATTCAAAAAAATAAAATTAAATCAAAAGGAAAAAAGCAATCCCTAAAAACTGGAAAGAAATGATCCTAACTATATAGCCAAATGGTGGTATAACCACACAGAGAAAAGATTAATTTCAAGTGACTTTAGAATACAATATTTTTACTGTATATCATCAGTGGATTATATTTTATTGAGGTGTTTATTTGTTACGGTGTCCATCTGGAGAGACTCCGTTGGCTATGGAGTATGGAGTTGGCCATAATCTTTTCAGAAGCCAATCACCAGGCCCAGATCTTCTGCAGTATCACTAGGTGGGTTACAACCATCAATCTTTTAGTCACCAGCTGAGCTCAGACTATTTGCACTATCCAGGGACCTTAGTGGAGTATATTTTAAAGTCAAATAGAGCTGCAACATTATTTAGTAGTCTTATTGAAATCAGGAATATCACATCTTTATTTCAAAACTATTTCATACGTGCCATGGCATAATGCAAATAAGTTAATGTTGTTAGGAGTTAAGATTGACAATATAAAAGAGATATAAGTACTTATTTGTATGAACTCACGATTTTTTTTTAAAATAGATATCTCCCAGTTCTACCCTGTGCAACTCCTACCAGGAATGGCAACCCAGTAGTAATGAGTATTCTTAAACCTAGATTATGATTTATAAATTCAATTACCTACTAAAAGACTCCAATGGTTGATTCTAGTTCTGAGGTAAGGCATACACAAGACAACCTGGGAACATTTTCTTGTGGCAAAAAAAGCAAGGCAGCTAACAAAAAATAATGGATCATTTCAAAAGAATAGATGAGAATCAATGTGAAGGGCTCCCACTGACCAAAAACAGGGCATTTTGATCACAAAAAATAATGATTGAGACTCTCGTTATATTTTAGTATCAAAAGAAAAACAAAAAACTTCACAGTATATATGTTATACTAAAACAAAACGATTTTAAAATTAAGAAACTAACAGAGATTTTCACTTCAAAAAAAATCTTTAGTCTGGAATTGAACGCACTCCCATGGCTTCCAAGCAAACAACAGACAGGCATATAGGATGAACATTTATACCAGGTAAATACACTCCTCAGAGTGATCAATCTTGGGAGAACAGAAGGGCAGTGCTTGCACAGGGAGACAATGGGGGGGGGCAGGAGTGCAAAAGAAAGAAGGACACAGGGAAGAGAGAACTACAGGGAGGAAGTGGGCAGAGAGCTGTTACACTCTGGGGATTTGCAGTCAATGTCATGAAACAAAATGTGTATGAACTGCTGTATGGAAAACGAATTTTCTCTGTAAACTTGCACCCAAATCATAATTTAAAATTGAAAAAAAAACCACAAGGGTAAAATAAATCTTGACTTGAATTTGGTATCAGTTAAAGACAACATGATACAGGACTGTGAATCAGCAGACAAGTCAATAGAAAATTTTCAAGCTAAAACATGCAGACAAAAAAGAAAATCAGAAAAGCATCTAGAAACATGTGAGACATGGCAAAAAAAATCTACCATGTGTATAACTCATGTTCCAGAAGGAGAGGAAAGAGACAATGAGCCATAAGAAACATTTGAAAGCTGAGAACTTTCCAAAACGAAAGACAGACATCAATCCATAGAGTCCAGAGGATTTACAGCTCCCAAGAAAGATAAACACAATAAAAACCATATCTAGGCACACAATAGTGAGACTGCTGCAAACCAAAGGGAAAGAGAAAGCTCTTAAAAGTGGTTGGAGGAAAATAGATGTATTACCATTAAAGAAGCAATAATAAAACAGACAACTATTTTCTCAATAGAAACAATGGACTATGGAAGACATTGGAATAACATATTCAAAGTACTAAAAGGAAAAAAAAAAAAAATACTCCAGAGTCCCATACATAGTGGGAACAGCCTTAAAAGTGAAGGTGAAATGAAGCACGTTTTAGACAAAACCAGAGAATTTACTGTCAACAACAGCATAATAAAAGAAATATAAAGTGAATGCTTTAGGCAGAAGAAAACTGAATCAAGAAGTATAACACATAATTGCTGCACGGAAAGAAGAATTGAAAGATAAAGATAAATAGAAACAAATTCTGACTGCATAAAACAAGAATAATAATGTCTTTGGGACTTAGATATATGCAGAATTAAAATGTATAACAATGATAACGCCAAACATGAGAGGGAGTGGTGTAGACAGTATTCTAAGGTTCTAGTATTATCTGGGAAGTAAAAAATGTAATAGTTTATTTCAGACTGTAATCTGTAAAGGATGTATTGTAATCTGTAAGGTAATTACTAAAAGTATAGCAAATTAATGTATAACCACAAGAGAACAGAGGGAAAAGAAGGTTAGAAAGGGGGAAAAAAAAAAGGAACATAAATATGTGCATCAAATAGGTAAAAAAAGTAAATCGTAGTCATAAATCCAATTATTATAGCAATAATCACACTAAATACAAATAGTCTAATACACTTTAAGTAAATGATAACAATTACCAGAATGAATTTTTTTTTTTAAAAAAGCAAAATCCAACTATATGCTGCTTGCAAGAAACTCACTTTAAACATAAGAATTCAGAGAGCTTGAACATAAAAAGATTTTTAAACTGTATTATTCTAACTCTAATCAAAGAAAGCTAGTGTAGATACACTAGTACTAGACAAATTAGAATTTAAGGCAAGAAGCATTAGTAGAAATAAAAGCAGCACATTTCTTAACCATAATGGGGTCAAATCACCAGCAAGATGTAAATACATATATTTTAAAATCTGTTAGGTACCCAATAACATTACTTTAAAACATATAAAACAAAAATTGGCTGAATTAAAAGGAAAAATAGAAAATTCCAAAACTGAAATGGAAGACTTTAAAAAACCTCTCCTATTAGCTTATAAAAGTAGAAAAAAAATCACTAAAGATATGAAGATGTAAAATAACACAATTAACAAGTTTTACCTAATTGACAAATAGAACACTGAACCTAACAATGGTAAAACAAATATTCTTTTCAAGTACATGTGACTCATTTTCCAACATGGACCACGTGCTACATCATAAAGCCAGCCTCAGTAAATTTCAGAGGACTGAAATAATTTACAATATGCTCTTTCACCACAGAGCAATTAAACTAGAAATAAATAACAAAAGAAAACTGGAAATTATGAATAACTTGAAAATAAAGCGATACCCTTCTAAATACCCATGGATGAAAGATGAAATGATAATGGGAATTTAAAACTGAAAGAAAATTAAACTGTGACAAGTCAAAACTTGTAGGGTATACAATTAAAACAATGCTTATAGAAAATGTACAGCCTTAAAAGCACATTTTTTTTTTTTGTAAAAGAAGAAAGGCTGAAAATCAAATATCTAAATTTCTATTTAAAGAGGCTAGAATAGGAATAAAAAGTGAACCCCAAAGAAAATATAAGGAGAAGAGGAAGGACACTGAAACATGCACATAAGATATAGACAACAGAGGCGAAGAATAGTATAGCACAATAGTGCATCGCCATTAACACCAAGTACCAGGCTACAGATAAACGCATAGACAAGTGAGATCAGGTGAGGGTGGGTGAGCATGAATATATATATATACCCTAGACCAAAGACAGATTTAGCTGAAGATAATCTTACATATGTACTTGTGCTACAAAACTAGCCACACATATTACAGAAGCAACAGAAGACAGAGTTGGAGTAACCTCTCAGAGACAACTGTACACCTTGAGAGAGAGAATCACTGGGCCTGCCAACTCGGAACCACAGTCTTAGCGGACACCAAGCTCAACTGGCACAACATAAAACACAGAAATATTGTTCTACAACCTACAAAATTAAAGAACAAAAATAAAATTAAAAAGGGGGAAAATAGAAAATATAAGGAATGAATAAAAATATGCACAGATATCAATGAAATAGAAAACTAACCCAGAGGAGAAAAAAATCAACAAAGTTGGAGTTTCTTTTTAAAAGAAATTAATAAAACTGATACACCTTTAGCAAGACTGCTGAAGAAAACACAAGTTATCAATATCAGGAATGAGAAAAAGGACCTCCAATAGACCCTGAGATATTAAAAAGATAGTAAGAAGACATTATCTAAACTTTATGCCAGTAAAATGAACAAATTCTTTGAATATTCCTATGTCTATTAAAGAAATTGAATCCATTATTAAAAACATTCCTATAAAGAACTCCAAGGCCAGAAGGTTCACTGGTAGATTCTTCCATTTAAAGAAGGGATAATATCCATCCTAAATGATTCCAGAAAATGAAAAATGAGACTACTTTCCAATCATTTCATGAGGTCAGAATAACACTGACATTAAAACCTGCTGAGAACAATACATGAAAGGAAAACTGACACACTCTCCCTCTCTCTTGAATTGAGATGCAAGAATCCTAAACAAAATGGTTGTTGTTGTTGTTGTTGTTATGTGCCATCGAGTCGGCCCCGACTCATAGCGACCCCTCCTTGGGTTTCCGAGGCAGTATCGCTACGGAAGTAGGATTGCCCAACCTTCCTTCCGAGGAGTGGCTGGTGGGTTTGAACCGCCAGCTGTCTGGTTAGCAGGCAAGTGTCTTAGCCACTATGCTACCAGAAACAAAATGGTAGCAAATCAAATTCAGAGATACATAAAAAGCGTAGTACATCACAACCAAGGACTGATAAAGTGAACTTCCTTAAACTTAAGAACTTTTTATCAAAGTGCTTAAAAGGCAAGGAAGAGAGTGGGAGAAGGTATCTGCAATAGATATACATGATGAAAGACTCAATATATACAGAACTATAACAAATCAGGAAGAAAACAGAATGTTAGCTAGTAGAAATGGATTGCTTCACAAGAGAGTATCCAAATGGTCAGTAATCATATGAAAAGGTGATTGACTTCTTTAGTCCTCAGAGAAAGACAAGGTAATGACCATGTGATATCCCTACACAACCACTAGAACGGCTAAAATGAAACAGAGAGACAATTTCAAGGGTTGGCAATAATGTGGAGCAACTAGAACTCTCAAATATTGCTTGTCAGAGTGTAAACTGGTACAACCCCTTTAGAAAACTGTTTGGTAATATATATTAAAGCTGAACATATGCACAATCTGTGACCCAGTAATTTGTCTTATGCATATATATCCAAAAGGCATGTGTTCATATGTTTACTGAAAGACATGTACAAGAATGTTCATTATGTCACATTATTCATAATAACCCCAAATAGGAACAACCCAAATATGCATCAACAATAGAATGAATAAATAAATCATCATATATTCACACAATAAAATACTATAACCAAAACCAAACTCACTGCCATCGAGTTGAATCCAACTCACAGCAACTCCCATTGGGTTTCCAAGGCTGTAAATCTTTACGGAAGTAGATTGCCCCATCTTCCTTCCGCGGAGCAGCTGGTGGGTTTGAACCGCTGACGTTCTGGTTAGCAGCCAAATGCCTTAGCCACTATGCCACCAGAGCTCCTTCATAAAATATTATATACAGCAACGAAAATAACTTAAAACAACATGGTTAGATTTCATAAACATAATGTTAAGTGTAAGAAGCCAGGAACAAAACAGAACACACTATCTGATTCCATTTAGATAAATTGTTGAAAAACTCTGGTATTTGAAGTTACGATAGTGGTTATCCTTGAGGGCAATGTAATTACTGGAAGGGGCCATGATGGAGACTTTGGGGTGTTTCTTGATATGGGTACTGGCTACATGGATTTAATTTGAAAATTCACTGATCTGAATGTTCATTTTTCTGTGTATATATTGCACTTCCCAAAAAAGTTTCCATTAAAAAATAAATATACTCATTTGAATCATATTGAATATATATAATCCCATGAGTTCATAATGATAATCAAGACGGCGAAGGAGAAGAGAGAGAGAGAACTGAGAAATAATCAGAAGACTTCACTGGCCATCATTGGAAGGAGAAAGGGCACCATCTCCTTACTCTGAAAACTGACAATTAAAAGGAAAGCCTTGATGGTGCAGTGGGTAAATACTTGGCTGCTAACCAGAAGGTTGGCGATTCAAACCCTCCAGCTGCTCCACAGAAGATGTAGCAGTTTGCATCCATGAAGATTATAGTCTTGGGAACTCTATAAACCCCAAAACTCAACTGCCATCGAATCAGATCCAACTGATAACGACTCCTCCTTGGGTTTCCGAAGCGTTATCACTATGGAAGAAGACTGTCCAACCTTCCTTTTTAGGAGTGGCTGGTGGGTTTGAACCGCCAGCCTTCTGGTTAGCAGTCAAATGCCTTAGGCACTACGCCACCAGAGCTCCCATAGGGCAGTTCTACTCTGTCCTATAAGGTTGGAATTGACTCAGTGGCAGTAGGTTTTATTAAGCATTTATCCTGCCTTTGTCAATAGATAAAACTACTAGATGAGAGTCTGATGGCAAAATTTACAATTAGGTTGACATCATGTGTGCCCACTAGTCAATTTGAGCATTCCTAAGAGTGAGACCACCAGGCATGTGTGCCTCTGGGCGTGATGCCCTAGGAAGGACACAGAGGCCCCAAACTCAGCATATCTAAAAAGCTCCCGAGTAATCCTGATGCTGCTGGTCCTCACACCACATTTGAGAAGCAACATTTTAAAATACTTTGATGAGGGAAACAAAAACAGGAAGTGAAAGAAATGCAGTAAATGTGACAAAATAGTCGTAATTGTTTAATGTATGCTTGCCAAAAGTGTTAGACCCAAATTTAAGGAAGGCTTAGCACTAGCTTCCATTTTTCCAGGAAATTTAGGAGAAAAGAGGAACAAATCACATCACAAAGCAGTCAAATCCTGACTGTAGTATTCAACACGACAAGTGACCATGCAGTGCAACAAATCAAAGAGATGAAAACAAACAAACAAAAAAAGGACAGGGGCCACTCTAGATGAACAGAGACATAGCAATCAAATGTAATGTCTGGATCTGACCACTGAAAACACCATTTTGAAACAGAAAAAGATATTTTGAAACAGAAAGATCTAAATATAAGTGGTGCAGGCATATGGTTAACATGCTCAGCTGCTAACCACAGGATTGGACATTGGAGTCCATCTAGAGGCCCCTTGGAAGAAAGGCCTGGCAATCTACTTCTGAAAACCAGCCATTGAAAAGCCTATGGGGCACAGTTCTTCTCTAACACATAGGGAGTCACCATGAGTTGGAATCAACTTCAGGGCAACTTTTCTTTTGTTTTAATTATGAGCTCTCTTCATTATGAAGATGCAAAAGAATTACTGTGGAGTGAAATGACATAATGTTTGAGATTTGCTTTAAAATAATGTGTCTGGAACTTTAATATGCAGATGTATCACCAGAGCATCTTGTTAAGATGCAGATTCTGACTCAGTAGGTCAGGGAGTGCAGCTGGAGACACTGGAGACACTATTCTAACAAGCTCCAGGGCGATGCCAAGGTGGCTGGTCATCAGACCACATTTTAAGCAGCAAGACTTTTTTTTTTAAAAAAAAAAAAATCAGCTAAGGGAACAAAAAAGGAAAGCAAAATAAAGCTAACACGTGTGGCAAAATCTTGATAGCTGTGTGATCTTGGTGATGAGCATATTGAGTTTATTATAGTTATTAAACAAAACAACCTTCCAAAGGCTCACGGAGGACTGTGCTTTTCATCTCGGAATTCCCAGTACCTCTCACTGAGCCTTGCACAAAATAAGCATCTATAGTTGATCAGTTGTTCTTCATACTTCTGCCTTGCCCAGAATGATTTGTGGTGACTCATAAAGATACACAACACAGTCAGCAAAAACTCATTTTAAAATAATGGAGTGAGCAAAAAGGGCTGAGGAAAATGATGGCCTAAAAATGAGGGTGGTACAGTTACTGGAACAAGGTCAACAGCTAACCTTTTAGCAATGAATGCTATCACTTCCTATCCCGGGCCTCACTCTGGGCTCTGAGCACAGAGCTGGCACACAGTAGGCACTTAATAAAAGTATTTGTGGAGTAAATGCATAAATGAATGAATTTAAGTTTTCTAGAAGGCATATAAAGATGAAAATGATCAGATACATCATTCACCAGTACTAGCTGCCATCAGGTTCATGGCGACCCCGTGTGTGTGTTGGAGTAGAACTGTGTTCCACAGGGTTTTCAATGGCTGATTTTCAGGAAGTAGATTTCCAGGTCTTTCTTCTGAGGTCCCTCTGGGTGGACTCAAACCTCCAACCTTTTGGTTAGCAGCCAAGTACGTTAACTGTTTGCACCACCCAGAAACACCACATCATTCAGTGTCCACAAAATTGAAGGAAAAAAAAAACAATAACAACAACACTACTGTTGTGAAGGAGCTCTTGTGACATAGTAGGTAAGGCATTTGTCTGCTAACCAGAAGATTGGTGGTACAACCCATCAGCTGCTCTGCAGGAAGAAGATGAGGTGATCTACTTCTATAAAGATTTACAGCCCTGTATGTAGGAGATCCTGGATAGAGTGGGAGAACAATGTGGAACAAAACTCAAAGTCACAGGACAAAAAAAAAATGGCCCAGGTTTGCTGGTCTGATAGAGCCTGGTAGAACCCCTGAGACTATGGCCCCTAGCTGCCCTTCAGGTCTGGAATTGAACCCACTCGTGTGGCTTCCAGCCAAACAAAAGACAGGCATATGAATGAACATTTACATTAGG